TATTTTGACGTGGCACTGGTAGAAGTGTGGGCTACAGCCTACAAGAAGTCTACAACCATAATTTACTAAAAAATAATGTTTTAGGTAGGTACTGAATTAAATTAAAATTACACTACAATACCCAATATAGGTAAATTAAAACTCAACAGCATAATATTTTTCTTCATACAAATGTACATTGTAAAATCATTCGATTAAAAAATAATAACAATACAACAATTAAAAAAATCTAACAATTTTGAATAATATTTTGCTACCTATCAAATACAAGTGCGAATTACGATGCCCTAGACAAATGCTAGCGCTGCTTACCCTTAACGACGGCCCAGTCTGGACACACACGGAACGATAGTTTGGTAATAGGTAGATTTAAGTTTAACAAATAGTTTATCAATGATTGATTGTATTACAACATTTCATCAAAATAACAGGGAAGCCAATAAGAAAATATCAGTTTATTTTTGAGGTCAAAAAATCAAAAAAATTAAAGACAACCCTGTACCTCAGCATTGGATCGGACGCTAACTTTTAAGACACACCTGCATTAAGTGTCAGAAAAACTTAAAACTACAATTGGCCTCATTAACAAATAAGGTTACACCACTTGGGGAGCTGCTACAAGTGTCTTCTGGACTTCTTCCTTAGCCCTGGTCTACTCGGCCGCAGAATACTGCACCCCAGTATGGACAGGAAGTGCCCGGATCCATGTCAATAGATAGTGGTCAATTGATAGCGCGACAATAGATAGTGGACAATAGATCGCACGACAATTTATAGTATATGACAATTGATAGTATACGACAATTGATAGTGTTATGACTTATTTATTTACAAAGTTGTCAATAATTAAAAAAATATTACATATACCTAATAAAAAAATTCGAATAAAATTTTGATATTTCACAAATAAACTTAAACAAAGTTGTCAATAATTAAAAATATAATATAATAGTACCTAATAAAAAAATCAAACTTGCAGTTGAAAATTATGCGCAACCCCTCGTAAATAATCATCTATACTTCTATTATTATAATCACTACATATATTTTTAAGTTTTTTTGCTCGATCATTGTATTTTTTTTTTGATGGTGGTTGATTTCCTGCAACTAGTTGTTCAACTTTCAATGGATTGACACGTTCTTCTTTTTGTAGTGCAGTAATAAATTTCCATATAGATGGATGAATCGATGAATTCAACATTGACGAAAAGCAGTTATGCCAGCCCTCCACTGAATTATTTGTTTGAGGCAAATCTGCTTCCACAAGAGAAAAACAGTTCCAAATTTGAATATTGAATTTTGGTTCTCTACGATGTCTGCGTTGTAAACGTCCAATCCAATTACTTTCAAAATAGTCAATAAGTGGTGTTAAAAGCTCTTCGTTGGTTGAAAAATAATTAGTCTCAATTAGAGTTTCAAATGATTCAATAACGTCTTCTTGAGGTACGAATGCTAAAGCTGGTAACATGCGAACATGTAGAGCGAAAAATAAGTTAATTCAATCAAATAAAATTAATTAATTTAGTATAACTAAAATATAAAAGTAAATGTTGTCGAAAACGTGGTCAAAAAACACTATCAATTGTCATATACTATCAATTGTCGTATACTATCAATTGTCGCGCAATCTATTGTCCACTATCTATTGTCGCACTATCAATTGACCACTATCTATTGACGGTATACCGAAGTGCCCACATAGAGGTAGTAGATATCCAACTAAGAAAGGCCATGCGCACAATATCAGGCACAGTCTTGGCACAAACAAACAATAGCTACCCTATCCTACCTGGTTATTTATTTTTGAGATTATAAGATTAAAGTGTGTTTGTTATTCAACAAAATGTTGGGATAGTTTGAGCTAGAGAGCCTATATAAGAAGAAAGTGGACAACTCGCTAATGCCGTCTAATTGGCCGTTTGATATGGACCGTCATTTGCAGTCCATCAGTGTTTCACTACGAACAGTATTACCGAATTATCATAAACTGTAAACAACCGATTCATACTGAGCAAATAAATAATAAATAAACATATCTGTAACCTTTCTTCTCACCTCATAAGTACCTACCTACTTGCTTTGGTAATAGTATTAATTATAATGGCTAATTATTTTTATCTACCCACCAGAAATTTTAGGCAGTTCAAACGCACCACCTCAGGAGCATACTCATGGTCACTGACCTCACATATACGACTATTTATCGATATACAGGCCCAACCCTATTACTAGGTGTAGCAGTCGCTACAAATTGAAAATAAGGGGTGGGTATAATAACATAAAATAATCAACTTGAAATATGTTCATAGTTAATCATAGATTATATTTGTTAATACCCTAATATTTACTAATACTATCAATTAAAATATGATAAAATGTATAAAATAATATAATTTTGAGTTTGTGAGGGGGTGGGTGGGTAAAATTTTTTCTTTCTACACCTGACAAATATATCTTGGGCGCCACTGATCCTGATAAAGATCGTTGGCCACTTCCTTCTTATATTACACGAGATAAATATTGTTGTTACAATATGTAGTACAACAGGCGGAGTTCTGGGGGATATTTTCCTTTAGTTTTTTTTATAGGAACGAAGAAATTAAAGATGAACTGAACCAATTCCTATCTATTCTAAAGAAACGAGGATTCTTATATTAAAGTAACGTTAACAACACTGGAATTTGAGCATTGCCAATTTGTGTTCAAAAACTAACTATCAACAAGTATATATTATAATGTTAATACATTTAAAATACTTTCGCACATTACAATAGTAAATATCGTCATCCGTCATCGTATGAAAATTGAAAATACTGCTGCGAGATTCACGATAGTTGGGTGCGGATGTCTAATATATTATAATGTTGCGCGATGGCATAAAAATACCTTAATTACTTTTTTAATATAGATTAAGGTAAAATAAAATATATATTTAAATGTTTTTAACACAAAACCTACAAAACCGTCTATATATTGTGTTTTCTTCAACACCTTTATCGAATGAATATTCTGTGACGGGATTAATTATTATAGTTCCGCGATGATGTCTTATAATGTTGCACGATACCATATTTAAACATTAAGGACATTTTAATCTAGCTAAGGTTAAAATAGAATAAATAATTTACAAAATATTCTACTAAAACCATCTATATGTATTTTCAAACACCGTCATAGAATGAAAATTGTAAACACTGATTTATGATAATTCGGCAATAATAATGTTGCGCGATTGCATAAGCAAACCCTACAGACTTATTTCATCGAGATTAGGGTTAGATGGAATTAATATTCTTCAAAATATTCTCAATACGCGTTTTTGTACCATACCGATACGACCACAGAGATCCTCTCGGCCCCCTCACCCATAACTAAATTGAACTTTCCCTTCATCGTCGTAGTCACCGTGCACATTAAGTTGCCTACCCACTCAGTTGTAGGCATAGTAAGTGGGGTTGCCAAGTCGGTCTACAAGGCGCCAACAAACATATTATTGCTCTCGGATATTCCCGATGATTAATACGTGGTCCACTTGTCCAGTTCCGCCTGGTAGCTGTAACAGGTGGCTTACTACAGTACTTATAAATAATTATGACATCGTCAGGGCAGCTGGAATAAAATACAAATTTATTAATGTTGTTGGTTCTTATAGCTATCTACCGAGAGTCTTATTGTACGCCGCCAGAAACCGCTCCCTGAGCTTCCTATATATAATATTTATATTATTCTATTATCAATGATATTACTAATATGATATTATTAATATATTAGCATAAAACAACATAGAAGCGACTCTCACCCCTCCACTTTTACTATTTCAATTTCGTGGTGGTAAGGTTGATGTTGTAAACCAGTAACAGGTAAGACGTATATTAATAATCAAACCTGGGAAAATCAGTCACTTTTTCCACTACCTAGTTAAAGTAAGTTACTTTAATATAAATACTAACCAAGTTGGAATATAAGTTAGTTTCTTAAATGTATCAAATTTTTAACTTAGTTAGAAGTTAGTTTGGTGAAAATTGTCATTTAAATTAGAGTAGAAGTTGGAAGTTAGTTTTTTTTTTTAGTTTAAAATATAAATTAAAAAAAATTTTTTTTTCAAATGTAATGTATTACATAAATTAATTATTAAGTAGGTAAGTAAGGAACTAACTTGAATTAATGGGGTTGCATGAAAAATTTAACTGATAATTTGATCAAATGTTTCAAATAAGTAGGTAATAACCTTAATTTCTTGGAATAATAGTCATTAGATTATAGAAAGTTTAACAAAATAAATAAGAATTGAAAAATTCAATAAATGAAGGAAAAAACTATAAAAATAACTAGTTACTTATAAAAAGTAACTTTCTAACTTAACTTTAACTTTCTAACTAGTTAGTGCCCAGCTTTGTATATTACTATATTTTATACACACAATAACATTTTCAAATGAAAGTTCTTGGTAAAAATGAAATAAACCAACTGTAGTACCAATGACTTATAGTAAAATAAATTACTATAATCACAATAACTTCATAAAATTTAGGTAATTAGTAATATGTTCAGAGCGTCTTCGATCAGAATCGTTTTTCGTATATTGATAATATTATGTCATTCAACTTTAACACATCCATTACTGCGACATCTCTAGACTACAGTACAGCAGATCGGTACCCTCTTGTCTGCTTTTTTATATACGACCTGTATAAAATAATTTCATACCATGTGTATAATAATATATCATATGATACAATGTTATACCACTGCATAATACAACATTTACTTAATACTCGCATATTTTATAAAAATAAATTAGGTAATAAAAATACTCAAACTTTTTATTAATAGGAATTGAATTTGTATTTTATTTTTTATTAATTTCAAGAATAATAAATAATACAAGTAGGTACATATTTAGGAATAAATACATATTGTCTAATATCCTTTGGAAACTTTTCTAATATAAGGATATAATACTTGCAAAATATAATACAAATTCAGAACGAGAACGATCGTCAATTTCCGTTTTTTGCAGCGGATTTCAGGGCCCGATTCATCAACTCGACTATCAGATGTTCACGAATCCATTTTAACACCTCCATGTTGATCTTGGTAAAGTCTACGACATCGCCATTAGGAAATCTTGGCTCATTTAACAAATTCCTAAAACTAGTGTAAGACATTTCTGAATGAGGTCCATTGTCTGCACATCTAGCTTGTCGTAGTTTCCTTTTAAAGTAAAAGAAAAAATTATTATTAAAGTTAATGAAAACAGAAACGCAATCAATGTTTTTTTTCAGTGGTTGGAAGTCACCACTCACCACCACTTTAAAATATGTACAATATATAGTGCATTAGTGCGCAACAGATACCCCTACATAATACAAAAAAAATCTCGTTACCCTTATGCAAATTTAAGTCACCCCCAAGCATGGATTATGGGGGGGGGGCAAGGGGGAACGGTACCGGGGCCCATCTTTATCCCCAAAATATAATTTTTTTAACGCGTTCAATTCAATTCAATTCAAAAAATTATTGTAGTAGGTAGTACCTATAGTAAGTAAACTATTATTAATAATTATAAAATAAAATTGTTCTCAATTTTATATCACGAAAAATTACTATAAATAATAACAATTTTGTTTGTTTTTTTTTGAGCATTTTAGATCACCTATTTAAGTAATATAAAAAGGTAGTTCAGTTAAAAGTATTAATGCATAATATACTAAATTTAAAACCTAGAGAATCAAAATTAATCATTTGACTGTAAAAATGTTCAGAAAAAAAGCTTTACCAGAGTCCATAAAAAAATATAGTGGTTACCATTTGAAAAAATAAAGTCAATTTTATTTTAAAATGTTATGAAAAAATTGTCTGTTAAAATTAAAGAAACACATATTTTTTTTGTTTTAACTAAATTCCATATCATCGATCCATAGACCATAATAATTGTTAAAAAAAAAAAAAAAAACCCCGTATACAATGACATAAGATACACAATGTATATGTTTTGTATAGTGAAAAATTATACAATAATATAAAGTCGTTAATATATTGTAATGATACAATTATTTTGAAGTTAAAGTTGGAAGGGGCCCACTAAGTGAATGGTGTCCCAGGGCCCAAGTGATCCTTAATCCGGGATTGGACTCACCCCATTATACGCTACCTATTTTTTGTGATTTCAAATTATATATTTCAAATAACTATAAAAAAATTTTTTTTTTTTTCTGAACTACTTAACACCCGTATTAACCAATATTAACCCGAATAATAATGGTTATTAACACCCAAACGTTTGTTTAAAATTTTTATTTTGGTATCTCAACACACAAGTACATGCAGCACCCAAAACTTCTTTATTCACAAAATATGTATTTCACATTTAAAACACAGGTTTGCCGCTTTCAGCCCTATTTTGGGGTGTGCCAAATTCAACAATTAGAAGCCCAATTATTGTTTAGCAAACATGATTAACATGGATAACAAAATTAAATTAATTAATGATCTATTAGACAGAACCAAGATATTATTGCATAACCTTAAACTACGATTAGATTCCCAGTATAAAAACCAACCACTGCACATTTCCATAACCATAAATAGTAATATTTAAACAGTCACAAATCACAGTTGATCATCATCATGATTTATTCTTATAAGATGTAATGATTATCCATACTTAAAATCATCTTATGACGTAAATCACAATATGGTTAATTAAATTTGTCGTGCATCGAATGTCATAAATATAGATAAAAGGCACTCCGAAGAATTCATAGGTGCAAATAGATGGGCTAATCACCACAAACAATTGAATGGTCCCCCACTCCCCCCTCCCAAACATTTCCTCTTTTAAGCTTATTCAATATTGTTATAACACGGCTTCTGCATTAACCTCCACCCCCACTCCAAATCACAAACGCCTATACAAAAGATACCTACACAATTTGTGTAAAGGAAAGACTATGTATTATTTTTGTTTTTAATCGATATTATTGAGTAGTGAGTGGAAGAGGGTGAGAACTTCGGTTCCGTAATAACATATAAAATCACGATATATTTACTGCTGGTTTCCATATTGGGTATTGGTAGTATCTGCCTTAGGTGATGGTAGTTCATCGTCTTCGGGGGCGATCAGCTTCAGGCGGGACAGCGTATCCAACAATTCGTCACGGTAGGAAACCTGAGCTGAAATTATGATGGTATAGATTATAATCAAACAACGAAATATAAATGAGACAATATTGAATAAATACCTACCTACTTAAAACTTTCAACATGAAATTTAATGCATTAAATAAAAATATCAAATAAGCAATAAGTTTTCCAAAAAAATATTTCAGTTACAAAAACGTGTTTTCTTTTATGAACTACAAAAATAACAATAATAATATTATCAATATAGTTCCAGTACCGATCAATCGGTGGCGGCAGCCGGGAGGAGTAGGAGAAATCCCCCATGACTTTTTTTTTCAATAGGTATTTTTAACATTTATATTATATAATATGTAGGTATGCATATAATATGTACCTACCTATTATATTAATTTTTTTTATTTATTTACCTATAATAATTTTTCAGAGAAAACGTCTGCATGACTATGTTCTTATAGGTACACTGTGTTTAAGTTTGTATATTTAAGAAAATACTAAGGGAGAGGTAAATTGCCTGCTAATTATTATGTGCTTTAGGCTGGACGCAAATATTTTTAGAATTGGAATACCTAAGTATTAAATTAACAGTTCAAACATTGAAACAAAATAAACTTATATTTGAAAACATATCTTTTAGTTGTACCTATTAATTTCCTTTATAGTTTAATTAAAAGTATGTTTGAGTTGTCAATTTAATGAGTAGGTATTCCAAATCTACGTATAGGTATACATACAATACCAACCTACCTACGTAATAATTATTTAATTATATTAATCTAGAGTCGTTTCAAGGGCTTGGAAACTATATGGCTGTTCATCGTGGGGTTATAAACTTATAAATATATTCGCAAATAAAATATTGGATGAACTAGGGGAAAAAAGATTTAATAATTGCACATAAATATTATGATTAATACGTTAATAAATAAAGTGTGTATTTACTGCTTACTAACATTTAAAAAATTATATTAGTTATAACCATAAATTATATTTGTAATTATCGAATAGTGCATAATATATTATGTTTAAAAGTCAGCCACATCACCTCTCACCCCCACCCCATGTAAAAATGACCGTTACTGGCAGACAGCAGTTGTTACTAATAACGTAATTAAAAAATAATAATCTAGGTACTCACCGCCGAGCTGATCCGTATCGATGTTGGAGTCAATTGGCTTGCCGCTGATAGCAGTGATCGCCGCGATCAAAATTAAAATTTTTGTTATGGACATCATGACGCTGTACTTGTAACTTGTACCTAAGTCTGTAAACTGATAATTAGAGAGCCGTCGCGTTCCCTTTTATAACCTACCAGGGCGGCGGCAACGATGAAGAGCATTTACTAAGGGATGAGATGCGCACCTACCGGCTAACTAATAAACCACACACGAGCATAACATAATGTTATATCTTAGAGGACGTCACACGCGCATGTGTTGTCTCCGTCTTACACATAACAATAGATGTTATATCTTAGAGGACGTCCCACGCGCATGTCTCCGTCTTACACACACGTACGACACAGACAAAACGCTTCGATCTGAGTAGACCTCCCTGGATTATGGTTCTAGAGTAAAAATGCCTATTATAAAATTGAATGGTGACAATATTTATGAGGGCAAGTCGTTGCGTTGTTTTTAAAAAATTTAAATTTTGAAAAGTTAAAGGGATTTTAAAAATGTTGAAATTTTTGCTATTTCTAAACGATATTAGGTATAGTGAACGTTATATTGGGTACAATGGGAAGAAATCAACGACTCGCCCTCAGAAGTATTGTCACAATTAAAATTCTTACAGTTATTTTTACACTAGAACAAAAAAAGGAACGAGTTCTACTCAGACTGCGTAAATGCGTTTAGTCTATGTCGTACGTGTGTAAGACGGAGACAACACATTCGGGTTTAGCGTCCTCTTAGTACAATATTATTATATTTTACTCACGACTGTTAATATATTATTTACATATTTTATAATTTATAGGACATAAATCGTACACATCGGTAGCCCGTTAATATTCCGGCATCGGTATAGGATTTTTTTTACCCATAATTTAAGATCACTTCGAAAATCATTAATTACGTTTTAAATCGGAAACTGTAATAATTTACAGTTGAATTAGCTACAGTTTTAATATTGAATGCATTTTTTAAAATATTTAGGTAAGCCAAAACTGTTTTTCTTACACTATTTTAACTATACCTATTTGAGAACTTGTACCTATATTAAGTATACCTAATTAATATTATTTCGAAGTGGTTAAAAAATTTGTACAATGATAAATATTCCAATAATTCCATACAACAACGATTAAACAAACAAAAAAAAGGGGGAATACTGATGATTTGATTGAGCATTTAAAAGATAAAGAAGAAACAGAATAGCTTTATGACTATATGTTAGGTTAATTAATTATAGTTCATACCGGAATACGTATAAACTATGGATGTAAAGCTATGAATGAATAATATATTTGAAAAACAATAAACAAGTAAATAAAAAAAAACTGTTGCGTGATTAAACAATGGTGTACCTCAATCTCTAAATATAATTACCTGTCTACGAACATTACAATAATTATTTATATAAAACTATTCATTAAATAATACCTAATGTTGTATGTATTCAAATATTTTCTTATTTTCAAATTAATAATCATATTAATATATTTTATCATACCTACTTATTTTCTAAAAAAAGAGAGACTCAGTGTGTTTTCATGCTTTGTAGTCGTTATTAATATTTTGTTAACGATAATATTATTACTCATATGTTGTAACTTGTAGTAATGTATAGTTGTCTACTTATATGTCTAGGTACCTTATTTACAGATATAGATTAATGGAACTAAAAACCAGTGATTCAATAATAGTTTAGATATATAAATAATAATATAATAGTTTAGGTACCTATGTGAAATATAGTAGGTATGGATATTGATTGTAAAATAAAAGTCAGAAATGTCAAAAATCGTCTGCTTTCATGAAAGTCTTGGAATTTCATTCGTATTGATAAATATGAACTATATTATAAAATGTATAACACAACACTCTGAAAGACATGACTACATAAACAGTCAGTATTTAGTTGAGCAGGCACTTAGTGCCGCTACTAAAGTATTAACTATAAAATAGGTATGACAGACACAGTACTACAGTAGATACACACCATAGATAGGTATACATTATATAGGTATAGGTTGACAGTTTTCTTATCCCAATTCCGAAACCATAAATCATGAAGGTCAGTCCAACCGGTACCAAGTCTACCTATAGTTAGTATATGGCTATTTCAGAAATAAATGTAATATAATATTATTATAGTATAGTACCTACTATAGACAGTGATCGGTCTGTAGATATTGTGTATAAGTCGACAGTTTTTTTACACGAATTCCGAAGCCATTAATCATGAGGGTTGGGTCAGAAACAGCCAATTGTTATAAAAATATAATATACCTTATACCAGTAATACCTGCAGCAGTTACTATAATGCAGTGTGATATTTTTTTTATAGATATAGATAAGCACCATGTAAAAAATATTTTTTTTTTCGAAAAAACCAGGGAAATGTTTTATTGAAAAATAAAATAAATATATAATATGCAGTATGCACGTAAAAGTATTTTAATGGATTTATAACATGTTTGCCAGCTTCGTAAAAACGGTCTACTGCAGTGTGGCGTCGGTAGGTAGAAAACACGATGTATAGGCACTCTGGACTGGAGCCACTAAAACGAAGGGTAAAAAAATTACTAAAACGACAAAACTTCGGATGATCTCCGATTCTTAGAATCAACAATGAATTGAAACCGGTCGCAAACTCTCAAAAATGTACTACAATGCACATATTATGGTCTCAGAGGCCGGCGGCTCCACCCTGCAGTCGACCAGCTGTCATTCCTGCAGGGTACCATTTTTTTTTGTTGTTTGGCTATTGCTTTCTTTAAAATGAACGGCCTCGCCGAACATTATAGAATATAGTATTAGGTATAATATTATTTACTGAACGAAAAAAATAAAAATGCAGCACAAGGTTTATTTTAGCCACTCTCTGCCTCTCTCTGACCGGACTCCAGGCACTATAATGGTTTTCACATGTTTTGTTCAAATTATTATTAAATATTAAATTATTGTAAATATAACTATTGAAAACAATATAATATAAAATATTGAAATTGTATAGATAGAATATAAAAAAATACAGGATAAATAACTACGACGGACCATACGGAATGTGAGATGATGCAATATACATAGGTAGGCATAAATATACCTACGTATTCGGGTATTCCTTATAAATAAGCGTCACATCACACATGCGTTGTAGAACGGAGTGTTAAAATTGTTGTGGAAACTCTCTGAGCATTGTTCTTACATTTAAATTAGTAAAAATTATGTAATTAATAATAAATTAATTATTTTACGAAACTTTATTTTTATGTACCAAAACATAAGCTAAAAACATATTGTCTCGGTTATTGTACACATAGGTATTTCCAAATTGTTCTTGTAATAATTTACAAATGTTCACGGTTGTGAACAATGACAGTGGTCAATGTTGCACTAAGTATGGGTACTCAGGGTAGGTAGAACGTAAGCAATCGTAATTGTGAAAAAGTACCTTTTTTTTCAGTTTCTAACCGAAGCTTTCTAAGCGGGAATTGCTTTCGCATTACTGCCTCGGCGCCTCCATCGTTTATTAGACAACAAGGTTTAATATAATATCTCATCGACTTTCGCCACAATGGATGGTAGACGGGACAATCCCCCGCCTTCCCCCACTTACAATTAATTAGTAGTATGGATCTTCTCCTGGACTTGGGGTGCCGACCTAGTACACCTGTGAAAAAAGTACCTACCTACGCAATCTTATCATACATCGCTCTAACGGGATCATCCCGTATAGGCTCCCACTAGACTTTGACGAGTCCGAATCGGCTCCAGGTGTGTGACCTTGTCGTCGACTAAGTTGCCGGATTGCGTCCCATGAGTTGGGTTGGTACAGTGGCCACTCAATTCCTGCGTTGCTCTTAGACCAAAAAAAAAAAATGAAAATTTGCCTCAAATTACCATCACCACCTCAATTAGGCATCGGGTTGGAGCTGTTAAGGCCACTTTCAAGTGAAAGGAGGGAGATAAAGCGGACAACAAGAGCCTATGGGGATACATTATTCTAAAGCTCCTGCCGACTTGAGTCCCCGAAATGGGACGCAATAAGTTACCTGGCCGGTCAAATTTACACCTTTCTTAGGTAAGCAAGTAATATGCAGCTGGGCTAGCATTTGAAAAAATCGGTTTTATGTTATTTACAATTAATGCGTCACATAATTTTTGCGTTTATCGGCATTTAGAATTACAACGTAATTCCACTTTTGCGTTTATCGTTATTCAGAATTAAAACATTATCCAATTTTCGCTTTTATTGTTATTTAAAACTAAAACGTTGTACAAGTTTTGCGTTTATCGTTATTTAAAATAGTGTTAATAACTTTCAAAATTTAGTGAAAAAATGGTTTTGACGAAATAAAATGGTTTTTTCCTGAAAAATTTAAAAATTTCATGAAAAAAATTTTTTTTATCTACAGGTCTGAAAAATTAATGTACAATGGAAACAATCTAATAAATAATGATAGTTGATAATCATTTAACGTACATATTATTATTATATATACCATACCGTAAGAGCGGGATACCTTACACAAAGGGGTTAAACATTGCTCCAAAAAAAATATTTATTGATATCAATCGTAGCAGATTACGATTTTGAAATAAGAGTTTGTAGTTTTTTTTATATTGTTCTTATTAACATTACAAATGATATTTGGAGCAAAGTATCCCGCTCTTAAAGTACCTAACTTAAAGTGCGTAGTAGATAGTTAATAATTTAATTTTAAATTTTGATACAATAATATTGTATTGATAACCATATTGGCAAATGTGAAATGACAATGACAAGTTTCCTTAGGTATTCTTAAAATGTTTTTTTTTACATAGATTATTTTAATTTTTAATCGTAAATACAATTTTTTAATTTTACAAAAATTTGGTTTTTTTCGGAAGTATATTATTTTAATATTCTCCAATTTTTCCACATTTTCCGAGGCTCTTTCCCGAATTTTTCGGAATTTTTCCGGCATTTTGATCCCTAGTTAATACCTTTTAAATTTAAAAATAATAACTAATGCGGGTAGGTAATGGCCCGGAACGGAATATAATGCAATCAATTCATATTTGAT